CATAGGAACACGTGCTTTCTACTCATGCCCAACTCATTACAAGTAGGAGTGAAAATGAACTGCAGAGCTTGGCACTGATTTCAAATGAGCAAAATAAAAGAAAGAAACAAAAAAAAGAAAGAGAAGGAGGGAGGGAGGAAGGGAGGAAGGGAGGAAGGGAGGAAGGAAGGAAGGAAGGAAGGAAGGAAGGAAGGAAGGAAGGGAGGGAGGGAGGGAGGGAAAGAGAAAGAGAGAAAGAGAGAGTCTTAAGGAGCTCCCTCCCCAAATGAGGTTGATCTGATGATGAAATCTGTCAGGTGGAACTGGCAACAATGCTTTTGAATTGCCTAAGACTGTAGCCAACGCATTCACGTGCGGGAAATCCTTTTTTTTTTTTTTTAATTAGTAGTACTATTAGTCAGAGTCAGACAGTCAGGATTTCCCTGAAAATCCACCACTAGGCTAAGCAGATTGAGATGTTTTGGCACTTTTGGCACCGCCTGTGGTGCCTTCTGCAGGTGGAGAGCCCTGCAAATGAAAGAAGCTGGCTATGAAGTCAGTGGGAATGAACCACCCAAGTGTCACACAGAAGCCCTTCCACATTGGGCAGTTTCAATCCACTACTACAGAAATAGTTTCCCAATAACCACGAAGTATTTGCTATCAGTACAGATGGGCTGATTTTCCCATCTCCTTTGGCTGTTCCTTCAGTAGTCAGAGTTGGTGGTACAGGTCACCTCCCCTCTGTGTGCGGTTGCTAAGTGAGCCCAGAGAGGACGGTCTCAAGAGCTCAGCCCTTGCCCACGTTAGGGGGTGGAGGAGACTGTCCTGTCTTCAGTTCTTCATCAGTACAGATGGATTACAACCCTCATTAGTAATAGAGTGACTTGCATGTCTCACTTACTCAGTCTAGTGAAATGCCAACCCATTTTTGGATCTGAGCAGACCTGGCTAAGAGGTCAACAGATTGAGGTACTGCCTCATCACTATGGATAACTGTGTATTGAACCCCCATTGTGTATGGGAGATGCCAAGCGGGATAGGCTCCCTTTGGATTATGGAGAACACTTTCAGGAAAAGAAGTTCGACCAATGAACATGAGCTTCCTCCCCTCCCCTTCTCCCTTGGAAGGGCTGATCTGAGGGGAGCCTCCACTGCATGGTTGTTTTTTTTTTTTTTTTAATTTCAGGTAGGATAACATCTTTTTTGTACTTTTTTATGTATCTGTGCATATAAAGCTTTTCTGCATTGGGAGGAGAAATCTTTTTGGTTGCATTGAAGACTTGTCTAAGAATTTACTCACTGATATTTTAACCTTCTGTAATTAACATTCTCATTTTGATAGAATTTTAACCAAACATTTCATCTTGCGAATTATCTTCACCTCATAATGGTTGGGTAAGAGAAGACTCAACGGAGGTTCTCCTGTAATTTTCTTTCAGAGGCAAACTTCTCCTCAGACTTTTATTTCAGAAATGTTATGCAATACTCTCTAAATAAGGCATTTCTTGAGAATGACCATTTTTGCTGGCAGCTTTAAGAGTGTTTTGCTTCCTTACTCCACATAACAACTCCTCTGTGTCTTTAGGATTTTAAGTGTCTTAGGAATTCTTCAAGTTTACAAGGAAAGAAAGAGAAAGTGAATTTTGCTATGGCAGTGGGGCATGTGTGCTCTCCCAGACCAAGAGCCAAGGGTTAAGCAGCTGTTGCTGAATTACATAGAACCTGTGGTTAAACGGGAAGATAGTCCTCACCCCACAGGGGAGGGGGCCCACCATATATCAGGGTACTGGATAGATTTCCTTCTCTCAATTAGCGTTCTTATTAATATGCTATCTGGGACACTGGGCACTGTGGGGACTCAAAATAAATATAAATCATGATCCTGCCCCAAGGAGCTTGCTCAGGAGTCATGACTAAAAGGCTTAGTGGCTCATCAGAGAATATAAATGAGCTGAGGCCAGAGATTGCTGGGGCTGTGAAAAACCAGAGAGGCTATGCCTCATTGTTAAGGGACAGGCCAACCATGGCTCTAAAGGATTGTAGGTCCAATATTGCCAGATATTTTCAAGAACTTTTCAAGAAAAGCCAAAACTTTGAGATTGAAAAGCCAAAACTTTGAAATTTCTTCCCTTTCCACACATCAGTACAGACCAAACAAAACTTGTCTGCAGGCTTTTTTATCTTCTTATCTAAATTAACACACAGAGCAATTGCAAGCAATATCAAAACTGGAACTAGTAGAAGTACGAATTCCGTGACTATATGACCTCCAAGAGGGAAGGGGTCTGGATGTCAAGAAGACTTTTTCAGGGAGGCTTCTCGGAGGGGAGTGAGGGGTTGTCCCATAGGCAGGTAGGATTTTACAGGAGTCCTGGCACGTAGTCAGATAGAACCGGATTTAGGTCCAAGTTCACTTCTTATTAGCTCTGTGAGCACATAACTTCACCCCTATAAGCCTCAGTTTCTTCATCTGTAAAAGGGAATCATGATGCGGACTGATTTTTGAGGGCAATTGTGAAGGGGAAAGGAGAGAGTACTGGAAAGTTCTTACTGCTGAGTCCGGAATGTAGCCAATGTCCAGTAAGCTGAGGCCCCCTTCCCGATGAGGACCCCCTCATTGAGCATTGCAGACAATTGCTTTTCAAGGATTTCGAATTGCTTTTTCTGCCCCAGGAAAAGCACAGGAGGTCTGGGTTATTTTTCTCCTCTCCTGCCCTCTTCTTGCTTCTCCCTGAGGCCTGTGGCTGCTTGCCCACTTGCCCTTTGTCAGAATCCCAACCTTTAAAACCCTGACCTGGGCCACAGCAGAAAAACACAACCCTACTCAGTAAGGAGGAGAAGTGCTCCAGGAGGCTGTATAGACACGCACGGCAAATATTTAAGGAATTCTTAGGAATAAAAAAAAAATTCGTAAATCTGGATTTTTGCATGAGGCCATCACAAGAACATGTTTTCTCAATTAGCGTGCACATTGCTTGGAGTGAAGTCACCACGTCCACAGCCCATCAGGGCTGACTTGAGCTGAGCCACCTGATCAGACTTCACTTTCCGTGACCTAAATGTGATTCAGCCAACCCTGCCACTGCCCCTAGCTGCTGAAACAAAATCATTCCTGAAATCCTAAACCAGGGTGGAGATGTACATGCTCCTCTGAAAAGCAATCTAATTTCAGATCCTGGTTGTATTCACCCCAAATTGAGAAAGACAGCACTACTTTGGAGGGTGGATTGATAGAGTCCCCACAACACCTTGCATGTTTCTTTTCTTTTACCATTTATTGTTAGATGGCGACTGTGTGTAGCCTTTCAGAACAGATGAGTTCTTTAGGTTCTGAAATCAGAGAAAATAGTTTCTTTTGCTAAAGCATACATCAATTGCCTAAAATATTAGCAGTCAGTGCCTGAGATCAGTGATTATATATTCTGGATGGTTTCCTGGACTGACTCTTTTCCAAGCAAATGGCTTTGTCAGATATTTGTAATTTCTGAAATATTTTATTAATGATGTCCTCTTGCCAGAGGGATGGTCCAGAGTATACAATTAGCTGCATGCCTCAGGAGCGAGATGCTATGCAGCATCCACCAAGATCAAGCAGGAGTTCAAGGACACTTCTAATCAACTGCCATAGAGCAGAGAAAAGAAAATGTTTTCACAAGTTGAAGGCCGGGTGTGTGGCCCATGCCCAGCACTTGAGGGGCTGAGGTGGGAAGATCCCTTGAGACCAGGAGTTTAAGGTCATCCTGAGCAACATAGTGAGACCCCATGTCTACAAAAATAAAAATAAAAAAATTAGCCAGGCGTGGTGACATACACTTGTAGTCCTATCTACAAGGTGGGTTCAGGTGGGAGAATCACTGGAACCCAGAAGGTTGAGACTGTAGTGAGCCATGATCATACAAGTACACTGTAGCCTGGGCAACATAAGTGAGACCCTGCCTCAAGAAAGAAAGAAGGAAGGAAGGAAGGAAGGAAGGGAAGGGCAAGGGGGAGAGGGAGGATGGCGGAGGAGGAAAAAGAAAAGAAAGAAAGACATTTTAAGAAAGAACAGAAAGAAAGAAAGACAAGAGAAGAAGGAAAGAAAGAAAGAAAGAATTAAGGCAATTAAGAAAAGACAAGAAAGAAAGAGAGCGCGGGGCGCAGGATGAGAGAGAGAGAAGGAAGCGAAGGAAGGAAGGGAAGGAAGGAAGGAAGGAAGGAAGCGAAGGAAGGAAGGATGAGAAAGATGTGAGAAAAGAGAGGAGAGAGAGATGGAGGAAAGGGTTAGGAGGAGAGGGAGGAAGACAGGAAGAGGAAAAGAAAAGAAAGAAGGGAAAGGAAGGAAGAAGGAAGAGAAGGAAAAGAAAGGAGGGCGAGGGAAGGAAGGAAGGAAGGAAGGAAGGAAGGAAGGAAGGGAGGGAGGGAGGGAGGAAAGAAAACAAAATACAGGTTGAGACCCATCATCAGGTTACGCAATCAACTTAGTGTGCAACTCTCATTAGGGAAAAAAAATGAAAGAGAATAGAGTAACATTTTCAAAAATTAATATGCATTGCATATAGCAAGGGAAAATGTTTATGACACTTTTGTTTTAGTTATACTGTATATATGTACATATACATATATATGCAAACTGGCTCATAATAGAAAATGTGTTTTTTTTTACTATAAGTCATAGTCAAAAAAAGTGTGAAAGCCACTGGCATAGACAACAGCATGATTCCGAACAGTGGATGCCTCTGAAGCCAGGCAAGCTTGGGGTTAAGTCCCAAGTCTGTGATTTGCAGTTGTGTGATCTTGGGTAACTTTCTCTAAGCATCAGTGTCCTCATCTGTAAGGTGTCCTCAGCTGTAATTCTTGTACAGCTGTTGTGTACATTAAATGACAAAGATGTATGAAGTACCAGGTTCTGTGACTGCCACCAAGGACGCCCTCAGTAAGTGAGAGCTACTGTCATTATCTGCCTTCCCCTTGCCTGTTCCTCCTCCTTCTCTTCTTCCTCTCCTTCTCTTCCTCTTCCTCCTCCTCTTCTTTTCCCTTCCCCTCTTCCTCTTTCTACTTCCTTCTCCTCTTCTTTTCCTTTTCTACCTCTTCCTCCTCCCTCTTTCTTATCTTCTTTGTAACTACTCAACCTCATCAGAACTATTGACAATGTTTTTATACCTAAGGTTTGCTTTTTCTCTAGCAAACACAGCAAAGAAGCAACAATAATCATATCTTGTCTTTGGCCCTACATTCTGCACTGTCTTTCTCCCATTTCATGCTTGCAAAGCCATCGTTCTGTGATTCTTTTCCCCAAGCATGACCATAACAGTAATTGTCCAAGGGGCACAGGACATCCTCCTCCCTGTCACTGGGCACTGACAGGGAATAGCATGGCCTTTCCTGGCCTTGCCACTGGAATAAACGCTTTGGTCCTAGTGTGGGTTCAGTGACTTTGGAAGGAGCTTCTGTTCCCACAAAATCATATCCTTCCCCTTTAGTATATTTTTATAAGAACAACAGGGCTAAGATACCATTAAAATGTTGATATTGTCAAAATTCTAAAGAAGTTTCCGCCCAGAGCAGAGAGTCTAACATTTTCTCCTGAGTGAGGCTCCAGGCTGCCACAATGCGGAAGGTTTACATTTCTCCCGTGGTATAAACAGTTTAAAGGCTCTTAATGTGAATGTTGGAGCTGACACCTTCAGGTAAACCCTGATCCTAACTCCAGCCCTCAACCCAATGAGCAATCTGTCACTGACCTCAGACCTTTGGTTCCCAGTGGAGGGCACGTGAAAGAGTGACCTACACCAGGATTCTACCTTAGGGCCACAAAGGTGACATGTCCCAATTTTCTTGAGAGCCTGGCTAATGTAGCCTCTGAGAACAGATCAGTGATGACAAACTGCCTACCTCTTAGTTCTCACGTAGGCTTAGCCTGCCCCCATTCTGTATTCACCCTTGTTCCCCCAGGGCTCATTCCAACTCTCTCCTAGTAAAATGCCCTCCCACTGGGCCCCATTTTCACCACTAGTACTCATAGAGGATTATTAGTGACATCTCCTCTCAAATGCTGAATTCCTGTCCAAACTAAAGATTTAATGCTGCTTTTTAGGCGGCTAAGATATCTCTATTTGAGGTTTGCAAGATAGTGGGACAGAAGGCAAGAAAAGAGACCTGCTTCTAGAGATAATTTTCATCTCTTTAAGTGTATCCTCTTCTCTCCACCGCTCATTCCACTATTGCCTGTAAAATGAATGTCACCAAGCCAGTTGCACTTTTTAAATAACATTTATGGCAGAAGAGAGACATTTGTCACATCATGCCCTGCCCCCACCTCCCAAGCAGGTGGATGATATTGAGCCAAGCACCAGGGAGCTGGAGTGGACTGCAAACAAGCCAGCAGAGAGATGTTTAAATTCATTGCTGTTGCACCTGTTTTTAAAGGAAAAAGCAAATGCTGACTTACTTTTATTGTGCTCAAAAGGCGGAGGTGGGGAGTGTATTTCCATCCTTTCTGAAACTTGAAATGACAAATGGAATCAATTGCCCCTGAAATGACATGCCACTAAGAATGTTTCTTACTCATGAAATGAATTACCTTTCTTTTCACCTGGGTTCAAGAGTGTTGTGTTTGTGTTTTCACAGGGAAAGTGTGAACACTAGAAATGTTTTCATTTTCTATTTTGAAGAGGTCAGACTCCAAAGCCTGACTTCAGATTTCATGCCCATGTGTCAGCATCTCTGTGTCTTGGAAATGAAAGAAAATATTTTGGGGGTGGGGTTTTCAAGTGCTGTTGTTTTTGAACTTTTCCAAAAAAGAGCAGGAGATGTCAGAAAGCAGAGAGCTTAATAAAGCAACACAAATATGTTTCAAAGGTTCTTTTAAAAGCATCTTTATGATTAAGCCAAAAAATAATAATTTTAAGTTGACACAGTGCACAAAATATTCATCTTCCAGTCATTTTGACTTCTTAAATGACTATGAACCTATTACAGAATTCTGACCGGCAATACTGGTGTCTAGAAAAATCTGTTTGTATCTTCTTTCTTTTGTGGTTTGGGAAAGTTATTATGTAAGAAATAAAAACAAATGGCTAAGTCAGGGGTAGATTATTTCAATTCACTAATACCTAGATTTAAGAGATGAGGAATTTATTCCTGATTCAGAATCTTACTAGTGGTATCATTTAGGCAAATTACAGAACCTCTCTGAGCCTCTGTTTCTTAATCTGGAAAATGAGAATAATGCTACTTCCCCTGCATATCTGTTAGAGCTGTTGCATTGGATATGGTTGATGGATGGGGAAACAACTTGGTTGTAGACACAGAAGGTAAGATGGGAAAACCTGGACCAGGAGTGTGAAACTCCAGGTGCTAGTGCTGGCTCTGGTCTTAGTTGCATGACGGATCTTGACAGTCACTTGCTTTGGTATTGAGCAGTTCTGGCTCCTGCTGGTCCATTCCAAACGCAGTAGCAGATGTAGATGCACTCACATAAACCTGGGCAGAGATGAGGTATTCCTGCCATGGTCAGAATGGAGGCCTGTGCCAGGCATTGAGCAGAACCTTGTGAGGCAGAGGCCAAGAGCACCACAGAAAAATCATGAGTGTGGAAACAGGCTTTCCAGGGTTCTAGTCCCAGGAGTCGTGCTTAAAATGCATGTGATGGAAAGCAAGTTGCTATACTGCTCTGATTTTCACTTTGTTCAGCTGTAAAGTGGGATCAGTAGCACTTATTTCCTAAAGATTAACCAAGGTGGCTTTTGCTCAATCATTTGGTTGTCTAAAACTTGGATATAGTACCATTGCCACCACCATTGAACACAAACGAGTGCCTGAGGAGCTCCCCAACTACTCAGTCCAAGGCAGATGTGACAACAGTGCCAGGACGCCTCGGGGATACACATGTCCCTGTCTCTTCTCCTAATGTCCCTTCTCCCTCATTAGTCCTCCTCCCTGGCCTCTTTGCTGGCTTGTCCTTATTCTCTGGACCTCTAAATATGGAGTGCCCTGGAGCTTAGCTTTCCTTTCTAGATCGCCCTCTTCCTGGATGATCTCATCCTCCCCAGGCATGAGCTACGGTCTATGACTTCCGGATGTTCATTTCCAGTCTGGACCTCTCCCCTGGGCCCCAGACTCTTATATTCTACTGGCATGTCCACTTGGATGTCTAAAGGACATCTCAAATTTAGAATTTCTTTTTATCCCCAAACTACTTTTCTCCTAGTCGTCTTTGCTTTAGATAATGACATAATTATTCCCACAGAATAATCTAGAAACCATCCTTGATTCTACCTTCCCTCTCACCTTTTATATCCAATTCACCAGTAAGTTTGTTGGCTTCACCCTCAAAATGCAGTCAGAATCCAGCCACTTCTTACAGTCCCAATGCTGCCTCCTTAATCTGGGCCAGGGTTGCCTCTCACCTAGACCTCTTCCTGCATCTGCTGCCTCTGTTGTCATTTTTCTTTTAGGCCAATAGCAGCCAGAGTACCCTTTAAAAATGTAAATTGCAATGGTATTTCCCAGCTCTGAGCCTCCCATGGATTTCCATTATATGTAGAATAAAATTATCTTGCCATGGCTTTTTTCAGTGGTTCTTAAACGGGGGTGATTTTTCTCCTAGGGGATATTTGGCAATATCTGTGACCACCTCATTTCTGGTGGTCATAAAGAGGGTGGTGGAGGCTTGAGGGGTGTTACTGGCAGCCAGTGAGTAGAGGCCAGGGGTGCAGCAAAACAACATGCACAGGACAAGCACCTGCAACAAAAAAATCATGTGACTCAAAATGTTGATAGTTCTGGGGTGGAGGAAACCTGCCTTATGCGATCTGGACCCTGACCATCCCCAGCATCTTAATCGCTCCTCCCCTTGTGGTTGTGTGGTGACCATATTGACCTTTTTGCAATGTCTTCAACATGCCTAACTTGTTATTGTCTTGGGGCCTTTGTACTCGCTGTTTGCTCTATTTGGGACACTCCTACCCACAGATCTTCACATGGTTAGCTTCTGATCAACATTTAGTTCTGCTATCACCTCTTGATCATCCTAATCTAAAATATCTATCCTACCCCCACCAAGCCCTGCCATTCTATTCTCCCACCCTGCCTTACTTATTTTTTAATACTTAATTTTATGATTTGTTTTCTTATTTTACTATCTGTCTCCTCCACAAGAACATAAGATTGAGGGCAGGAACTTTGCTGTGTTCATCAAGGGATCCATTCATCACATAGTAGGAGCTCTATAAGTCTTTGTCAAATGAGTAATTCAGCAAATAACTGACAAGGATAGCACAGACATGGCCTATGACAGAAGGTTAGGAGAAGAGATCAGCAGGATCTAGCATTTCACGGAATGCTTTCCGGAGGAGACCTGCCATGGGCTACCCTGTGAGTTTCCGGAGTACACCATCCCTCCAGATGAGCTGGCCCTAAAATGGAGAAGGGCTTCCTCTCAAGCATATATGCACCCAGCATAGCCTTCTTGTAGGTTAGAGACAGCTGTGGATTTTAACCCGTGATAGGACAGAGACCCAAGCTGTAGGGCTCAGGGGTCCAGGCTCTGATGGAAGAGAGGAATCAGGAAAGAAAGTGAGTATGAGAGAAGCAGGTCCAGGAAAGAGAAGCCGAAGCTCAGGTTGGCTCAGGTCAGGAATGGAGCCCAGTATAGAGGGAAGGGAGGGGCCAGGGAAGGACAAGCAGACAGCTCCAGAGGAAAATCTCTGGGTTGGCTCATCCTGGGGTGGGGAGTCAATTGAGGAAGCTATGAAATGGAAAGCAGATAAGGGACAAAATCAAACCTTTCATGTAGCCTGGCAGAGACAGAGTCCTGTTTAGACTTAGTGACCCATATAAAGCTTGTACCACACGAGAAACATGACATTATGACAAACACAGTTAATTCCAGAACAGTCTTGATTTCAAATGCTCTGGCCCATCATCAAACATTGATCTTGTTCTTCAGTTTCAGAAAGTCATGACAGTAACACCACATGTAACAGTGCTTAGCAATGCCAGGTGATGGGTGGGTGTTCACTTCCATCCAGGTAAGCCCCTGTGCCATCTCAAAATAATGATATTGATGTCCAGTTCTTAAGGGAGATGAAGTGAGCAGGGCAGGTCATAGATCATATTTCCAAGGTCCCAGGGTTCCAGGTTATACAAATTCTGGGGTTTGCAGATCACAGAGTCTCCCACGGGAGAGGGATGCCTGGTGGCATGTACACAGCTCTGGCCATCCTGGTATTGTCTCCAAGAGAAAGGGTATGGTCAGGGTCTGTGCCCTCAGGGCCACCTCAGGACACTTACTCATAACTCTGGTTCATTTTGCTGCCTGGATCCTTCTAAGGAGATGACTACATGTGATTAGCTGGCCAACACCTCATTTTATTAGTCTGTTAATGTAGTTTTAAAGTAACACACCTAAGATGCAGACAGCTTACTCCAACCTAACAAAAATGTCATTATGAAAATTTACAAGGTCTACAGAGTGATATAATGGTGATGAAATTCAGATGTGTCAAATTACTCTCATGTTTAATTTAGCCTGACTCAGTCCGTAGAAATATGGATTTTCCCACAGACGTAGTCTCATAGCTGCCTGGGCACTGTGTGCTTTGCAGGGCTGAGGCTATGATAAGGTTGCCTGTCCCACAGCCTCAAAAGTCATAAAACAGCCTGTGCTGACCATCTCCTCCTGCTTCCTCAGATTGCTGCTGACAGGCCACTTTGTCTTTTCACTCACAAAACCCATCTGCCAACTGGTCTTTGGGATCCCCTTCCATCGTTAGGTCCTCTTCTTGGTAGACACAGATTTGATACTCTCAAACTTCTGCTCCATTGAAACATGATTTCTGGATCTTCATTCCTACTAAGAAATACAGGGCTGATGAAGGCTTAGACCCATACTCATCCCAGGGGCAGATTCTAAGCAGCTGTCATGTTCTCTCAGTTAGAAAGTTAATAAACCCCACTCAGCAACAATGGAACAAGCAAAAGCCTGACCCGGTTCCTTCCTTCCTGCTAACAATGTGACTTGCAATAGCTTGTATAAACTCCCTCTGATTCTCAGCTTCCTGAACTGTAAAACCAGAATAATACTAATACTCCCTTATAAAGTAGTGATTGTAAGAAGAGAACACATGTAACACTTAGCACTGTGCTTGGCACATAAAAGCTGTTCAACAAATGGCAGCTACCCTCATTATATTATTAAAATCTTGGAAAGTAAGATTTCAGACATCAGTCAATGACTCATGGAAATGTTTTGGAGCTTGAGGTCTTTGTAAAGTGAGAGGGCAGGAGAGTGGAGCCTAAAACATGGGGAGGAAATCCCCGTGCAAGGAATGCAGAAGGTCGTTGCCATGGCATCATGGTGACTGACCACTCATTTGTGGGCTAAACCCCATTAAGCCAGCTGCAAAATGGGGGTAATAATAATGTTGCTATAATTATTAAATATGGCAATGCTTATAAAATGGTTAACATAGCTCCAGGCACACGAGCCTCAAAAAATTTAGAGCTGTTGTTATCACAACCAGTCTTCCCTTGCTAGCTCCTCTGTCACCTATTTACGCTGGTCAAGCCACTATTTAGAAAAGTCCAACCTGGGTTCCTAAGGCACTATTTCACAGTTTAGGGGGGGACAGTGCAGCCCCCACCCCAAAGGTCTCTTAGTGTCACAGGGCATTTATAGCCTCCAAAAATCACTCCCACAGATTTCTAGGGCCCACTCCTTGTAGCCTCCAGGTGGCTTTGTCACATGTAAAGGCAATGTCATGCTATGCACAGAAAGTGAATAGCCCCTTTCCTTTCTTACCATGGGCCTGGAGTTGGTCCCACCTGGCTGTCACCCTTCATTCCTGGGATGGTCATGAAAGCAAGGGATCTGTACCCCCGAAAGGAATTTATTCAGCACCAGCAAAGGGCAAGGCGCCCAGACTTAGCTTTTGCCATGGGCCCTGCCAGAAAGTGCTGGGCAGGGACAGAAAAGAAATTCCAGAGACAAGGTTTCTCTAGTGTCCTTGGACTTGGGGAGAAGTAAATTGTAGGGTTGTCTCATTTATGATCAAAGGTACCAAAACTTTATAAAATGCCTTGAGGATATTTTGTCCGTGTTCCTAAGCAAACAGAAAAATGGAGAAACATTTTGGGTCCACCAAAATTGGTAGTTAGGATGAACTCTTACTGCAAGGGCCATGTCTATCTTAAGCTAATTATGCAGCAAGTATGGCTGTGTCCTCACTGTGTGCATGCACTGCTCTGGGCTTTTGGGGGCTGTAAGAACACTTAAGATTTACACCTGCCCATAAGGGGCTTGCCATCTGTTTGGTGCTTCTTATTTTGGTTTTAATTACAAGGAAGACGTTAGCCTTTTGGAAAAAGAATCACTGGGATGAATCTAATACTACTGGGCTGGCTGTCATGCAGATTCTTTTATGGCCCTGTGGCCTTGGACGTGAAAAGGTAATGAAAACATTTCATTATAAGGTTTCTTCTCCCCTCCTGCATGCTCTACCATCTGCCCTTGGCTATGACACACACACACACCTCACACACACATCATGCAAAAGTGGAGCCATTTCTGAGGCAACTGCAAACATTAAAGAACCACAGTCCTTTCGGACTCAAAAATCCATAAAATCCTAGTGTTGAAAGAATAATGAGAAATAATTCAGTCCTTTCATTTATAATAAATGCAAAAAAGAAGGAAAAAAACCCCAAAAAGCTGGTGGATGAAGTTCCTTGATTACAAATCACAGTGTTAGTAACAGCCCACCCAGCCCAGGGCTCAGTTCATTTCTTCCTTCCATTCTTTCATCAACTATTTATGAAGCACCAACATTGTACCAGGAGCTGTGCTCCTGGTGATACAATGTACCACTGGTGATACAATGGTAGAAAAAAACCATACATAATTCTCTCCCTCCTGAAGGGTCTTACAGACTAGCCAGGAAGATAATCAGTTGGCATGCAAAGAAATGGCCATTTCCACCTGCTAAGTGTCATGAAGGAGAGTTCCACGTGCTGGTCCATGCTGCATCTTAGTGAGCAGAGCAGGCTTCTTGGAAGAAGGCATGACTCATCTGAGGTCTGAAAAGTGGGCAGGAAAAGGAGAGGAAGGATGCTCCAAAGATAAAGAGAAGTCCTCCAGGAAAATGTCTCACACAGTGGCAGGCTGAAGCCAGCTCACACAGGCTCACCCCTGCTCCACCATAAGCTTCTCTTCCCAACTCCACTCCCAGTGAGGCCACACTGCTAACCTGGAATTGGCCAAAATGGGGATAATCGCATGGCAGAAAGCAGCAGATGCTCCAAGTTAGGGCTTCCACCCACCTCTGCTTTGTGGAGCCATTTTTTACCAACACTTCATGGGCTTCATATACAGTGGTGCCTGCTTAGCTGTGGTTTCGCTTTCGAAGGTTTCAGTTACCTGGGATCATTTGTGGTCCGAAAATATTAAGTGGTAAATTCCAGAAATAAACAGTTTATGTTTTAAATTGTGCATCATTCTGAACAGTGTAATGATATATTGCGCCATCCCACTCTTTTCTGCCCGGAACGTGAATCATCCCTTTGTCTGCTCTCTAGGCTACCTGCCTCTTAGTCACTTAGTAGCCTGTTTGGTTGTCAGATTGGCTGTCACTCATTACCCACTTAGTCGCTGGTTTGGTTGTCAGATGGACTGTTTCAGTATGGCAGTGCTGGTATTCAAGTAGACCTTATTTTGCTTGATAATGGCCCCAAAGCAGAAGAGTAGGGATGCTGGCATTTTCTCATAATTGTTCTATTTTATTGTCACTGTTGTTTATCTCTTACTGTGCCTAAGGTATAAATTTTATCACAGGTTATGTAGGTTTGGGGAAAAAACATAGTGTTTATAGGATTTGGCACTATTTATACTGGGGGTCTTGGAACATATCCCCTGCAGATAAAGAGGGACTATTGTATTCCACCTGTTTTCAGGCTGAGGGCGACACAAACACTGCCCTTTAAGCCACCATAGGCCTGATCCTGCTCCTGCAAAAACTCTACCAAATGCCTGTTCCCAGAAAGGCATTGTCAACAAGTGACTTGGACCTTGGGGCTGTTTATTTCAGACCCTGGGCCATCTGGCTTCTCCCAGGATCCAGAACATCCCAGCAAGTTAATACCAGGCAGCTAAGAAAGAGCCTGTTCTTGTGGTCTTCGCCACCCCCTTGCCATCTAATGATATTTATCAACCACCCACGCCTGCTCAGTGCTGTATAAGACACTTGGCCAGGCAGATCTCAAGTCAGGCTTTGACCCCTCAGGAATTCAGAGCCTGGCTGAGGCTGCTAGGCTGACATTGTTCTTCCTTAATATAAGGAAGAACTCAGGCTGTCGGGGGCACAAGAACCAGGGCTGGGTGCCCAGCTGAGGGCGTGGTTTAGGAGATGGTACTGCTGCCATTTTTTGTTTGTTTCTAGGCACCAGAAATACCAGGTGAGTAGGGGTTACAGTTCATACTATGTATGATTTGGTCAAGTTTTAAAAACAACTGATGCTACCACCCTTGTACCCCCACTACGATTCCACTTCTCCAAAGAAATTTGCCAAAAGAAAAGGTGAGTTTTGAGTTCTTACTAAGTCTGTTAGGAAGCAAGGGTGAGCGGCAATCCCAGAGGTGGGGGTTTTGCAGTAGCAGTGTCTTTGTTTCCAAACCGTGTGTGTACAGGTATATACATGAGTATGTGTCTGTGAGTACATGTACACATGTGTGTGTGCTTGTGTGTGTGTAAGCATGTGTTTGTGGGTGTGTGTCTGCAGTGCCGACAGAATGTGGAGAGCAACAGTGTCTGCAGTGATGCAGGGTGCAAAGGAAGCAGCTAGACAGGGCTATGAGATGGAGAATCTTGAAGAAGGCCAGTCACCGGGTCTGGTTAAGGAAAGAAACCAGGCATCCTGGATGGACAGAATTCCCTTTGATCATCTGATCATCTCTCGGCTCTGGAAGGGAGTGAGTGACTCCCATTCTTGGCCCATGCTGGAGAAGACACCCCCTGCATTGTGGAACTCAACCATTTACTATCTTGACCTTTAGTCAAACTTAAATGCTGGATATGACCTGTGTGTCTCCCTGCCAGGACTCTAGTGAGAGCCAGGCAGGAATGTGCAGAGTATGAATCTGGAGAGTCTCATGAAGCCATTCAACAGCATCTGGCCGTAGCCCTGCTGTAAGTGACACTTGGACTGACAGTGTGTCTCCAGGAGGCTTCCACCCAAAAGCAAGAATGAGAAGTGACCCAGGTGGCATTGCCAGCTATTGATGGCTAGTCTTGAATTCATTCTGCTTGTCAGCTGCATCTTTGGGAGTGGGGAGCAGGTAGGAGTGGGCTGAGGGGAAAGGCTCTCGGAAGGGCGTACTGTTGGGAGAGTAGGGACCAGCAGGTGGGCTGCCAGGGAGGTAGGGATGTGGTGATGCAGAAAGTTGCTATTTGAAGGCTCTAACAACAAAGAAGAGAGGATGGTTGGAGATCACAGAGTATATAGGGGTGGAGGCTGGTGCAGGGTGAGCAGACAGACTGTTGGAAGGTAGGTGGACATGAAGATGGCCCTTGGCTGCTTTGCAGAGAAGCTTTGCCCCCTCCCAGGTCTTGCTTCCTCCTTTGCCCTATGCTGTGGCCCGTCGGCACAGCTCACATGCTACTCCTTTTCCTGAGACTGCCTTGGAGCCTGGGATTGTCCACTGACCCTGTCCCCACCACTGGCAAAGTATAATTTGAGGGTCCTGGCCCAGACAGTGAGAGTCAGTGAGAAAGCCTGGAGGGGAAGCACTGTCCAGTTCTCGGTAGAGGGACTGTGGGCAGAGTCACCATTAAAGCTGTGCAGGTTGTGTCCTGTCTAGGGCATCTAGCTAAGGGGATGAGTAGGGGCTCAGCTCACCAAACCATGCCCCTGGCAAGGAGCGGCCTCTACCTGAGAAAGGGACATTTCTTCTAATTAACACAAAGCTTACTCAGGGCCTAGCTGCAGCCTCCATTCTGGGAGCCCCTGCAGGCCATGGAAGGGAGGCCCCAAGAGAGAATAGAAATGCCAGAAAAGGAGAGAGAGCATATACAGTGGGGTCCCAGTGGAGGGGGCAGCCTTCGGAACAGGGAAAGGTGAACACCAATATTAGCCACTTTACAAGTCACCGAGAGCCAGCCTGGGGCTATCATTTTACTACACTGAAATGCTTGTGGTCTGAAGATGAAGGGATGTTTTCCTTATTAACATTGAAATAATTAACTTGTTTATGTTATTATGCTCATTGTCTAAACATTGTTCAATAAAACATCTTATTGCTGATAATTTTCCAAATGTTACAGTAAACACGGGACTCCTGCCAGTAGCAGGAATGCATTTCGAGTTACACAGTGAGCACGGTGTTTGCTTTGCTGCCAGTCACTTGACTAAGGTCTCCTGACTGTAGCTTGGCTGCAACTTCTTATCAATCCCAGGTGAAGAACACTCTGATAAAGAGCAAATTATTCTCTGTGGTCAGATCCCCAAATACGTGGGTGACAAACACAGTGGCATTGTTTCCTTGACTGAGTCTTGTTTTCCATGTGTGGGAGGAATTCCAGACTTGAGAATTCTGCATCCAGACTTCATAGATTTCTTTTTCCTAATTGAGACAACACAACTAATGATAAAGAACAATACCAGCCTGGCTTTCAAGCTCCAAAAGGCTCTGGGTCAAAACCTGACCTCCATAGGGATTGGAGAGGGTCCAACAGCAACTACTCTCTTCTGTTGTCAAGCTAGACCACGGGCTCCTTGAGACTAACTTTCCGTTGGCTTCTGGAGCATGGAAACGGAGCAGATGTGCCTGCCTGCTAATGCACTGTAGGATGGAACTGCTCGCCCAGCTTATTGAAATCAGATGCACAACACTCGAGCTGCCCTGCAAACAGATGGTGGCTCCACGCAAGTGCCATCACATTGGAAAATTACAAGAGCCATGACTCCATCCCCTCTCCACCATGCAAAATTGCATTTTTTTTTTTACCAACTGGGTAAGAGAAAGTCCTTCTCTTCTCCATACATCCACTCTAAGGGGCCAGGCCCTTGTGAAATATAGCACTCCTAGATTGCTAAAGTAGTATGAAAATTTGAATACAATGGACAATTCTGGAAGGATGTACCCTAAATATTAACATTCATTATCTCTGAGTAGGAGGGAATTGAAATTAAAAAGCAGCATGGCATATATGGACTTGTACATACTTTTTTTAGAAAATTGCACCCAATTCCCAAATAGTATTCAACTTGTCAGAAACAAATTCTGAGATTGTTTAGAAATTGTTTTTAATATGCAATATCCTTTAAGAAAATTTTACCTTAAAATTCTAGATAATCAACTATTTCAATTGGTCTGAATTTTAAGTTTAATCTAAATTATATTGAATTTCTTTGAGAATTTCTAGGTTAAAACTGTAATCTGAGTAAAACATTAAGTTAGAGTGAGTTTGTTGGTTGATTTTGGATATTTACATAGGCAAACATATATATATAGCTTCACTTTCCTCCTCTGTGCAAAAATTAAACAGCTCTATTCATAGGGCTATTATGAGCATTAAGTGAGATCATCCATTTAAAATATTTACCACAATACCTGACTATACAAGATATATAAGAAATTGTAGCTATCATTAGCTATATAATTTTCATTTTTCTTTTAAAGATGACACCAATTTCTGCAAGAAAACAAGTGGACAATCAACAAGGAGATATCAATTGGCTTATTTTCTGAATAGATGTGAGTGAGAAACAAATATCCAGGGCCCCCACTCAAGTCCTCCAGCCTGCATTGGCTCTTAGATCTCTTCTCAGCCAGCCCTAGAGGTAATGAATGCTTAATTTGGTGTGGCAGAAGTTTAGGACTAGAAAGAACTTAGAGATAACCAGTCTGGGTCATTTAACAGATAGTGAGATTGAGCCCAGATGGGTGATGACTTCCCCATGTCACAGAGCAGCAAAGACAAGACTCTAGGGCCTTGACCGCTCCTTTTTTCACTTCGACAGATGGGCTCTCTGGTTAATATATAATGATATATAATGACATTGACTCCTGCTAGTGCCTTTTACTACACTGCGATATCGCACAGTGCATAGCACAGCCCTGGATGCATAGTAGGTACATGATGAATGGTTTGCTTAATCTGCTGATGTGCCAGGTGTATACTTGACAATCTAAGAGACAGGAAGTCAACTAAGACAGAATCCCTTCAGGAAGGTTCAAGAGACTGACAAGGAAAGTTACAGCAGGGGAAGAGGGGGTCTTAGAAAGGGGAAATTTGTTTAACTTCCTCGACAGGAGAATGAGTCAGAAGTCGAATCACGTAATGAACCTCAGCGAGTTCATTCTCCAGACTCCCTATGCCAGACAAGTCCCAATGCTACATATTTACCAAACGTACATTTATAGCTTTTGACTTCTCCCCTAACTCTACATGTCTATATCAACTGCCTATTCCAATTTTCCATGTGTATGTTCAATAAAAGGTATCTCAAATATAGTTATCTCAGTATATAGGTATCTCAGATTTGACACTTTCAAACCTAAACTCTTGATTCTGCCTTCAATCCTGCTCCTGCTTCAGTGTTCTCCATCTCAGTAAATCTCACGTCCTTTCAGCTGGGTGCCAAAAAGCTTGGAATCATCCTCGATCCCCCTGTTTCCTCACTCCTGCACATCACAGTCCATCAGGAAGTCCTTTTGACCCTATTCCTCCAAAGTATCCCACTTACATTGTCTTCTCTCCTCCCTTACATTGCCATGAGGCCCCAGACCATCACCTCCCACCTGGATAATTGCAGGAACTGCCTTAACTGATTTTCCAGTTTCTTTTCTTGGTCCCCATTTTGTGTGCTCTGCCAGAGTGCTCCTCTTAAAATATATCCAGTCATATTGTTTTCTGCTAAAAATCTTCTAATCACTTCCCATCTCCTTAGAAATAAAGTCCAAACTCCCCAGGGTCCATAAAGCCCTACGAAAGCTAGTTCCAGTTGCCCCTCAGCTGTCATCTCCTAACACTCTGCCCCAGCCACAGGGGCAGGTTTGCTGTTTTCAGCCAAGCAGGTTCTTGCCTCAGGACCTCACACTGACCATACACTCTGCCTCAAATGTCCTTCCCACATTTCTGCATAGCTTTCTCCCACACTTCATTCAGGTCTCTTTGTAAACATTGCCTCATCAGAAAGACCTTTCCTGACCAAACTAGCGCTTCAACTTATAATTCCAAAACACTTACTGTGCTTTATTTCTTCCAGAACTTATCACCAATGGACAATTTCCTAGTAATTTGTTATTTGTCTTCTGTCCACCTCTACGAGAATTTAAGCTCCCTGAGAGCAAGAATTTTTCTGTTCTGTTCACGACTATATCCCCAGTATCTACAATAGTGTTTTGGTGCATAATAGTTGCTCAATATCTAGTTGCTAAACAAGCAAGTCAACAATAAACTTTCATTCTGTATTTTAGCTTAGTTGTTTGTGTGCTTATCTATTCCCCCTACTAGACTGGTCTTCTTCACCTGTAATTCCTGCAGTTCCAGGCATGGTGCACCTGCACAGAACAGGTGCTCATTATGTGTGTGTTGAATTAAGTTGAGCAATTACCAAGCACTAGCCACAGATTTTGTGACTTAAATCCAGTTCATATCATCTACAAGAAGCATGCCCAAAGGGTTTGTTAATTTTTCTGAGAGATAGTCCCAATGTTTCATTAGAACTTAGGCAGCAGCTCTGGGAAGAAGGAGCTACACAAATAGAGCTTTGTGTGATGGGGAAAACAGGGAGGTGCAGTCCCAGTCAGAGCTGTTAGCAGCAACCCTTTGCCAGGCCTGAACATGCAAAGCCAAGCTCTGGGGAGAGTAACAAAAGGGTTGATTGGATCCAAGCCACGAGGTCACAGAGTCCGTCTTGGAGGGGAAGGGTATGCCATGTGTCGGCCACAGAACCATGTAGACAAACTACAGCGAGTCAGACACACCAAGATTTTTGCTCCTGTTTGTTTCTGCTACACTTCTACAGAATCAAACCACTTTGTTCCTTGACTTTGGAATCATGTCCATTTGTTTAAGGTAATGGACTGGGGTCTTCCACCATGCCACCCCCAGGACCCGCACCCTGAAGTCCTGGTATAGGCTGTGCTATAATGTGGTCTTTTTAATAACTAGCTTCTTTGGAAGGAGTTCAGGTGCAGCCAAGTTGTACAAATTTCAGGGTTATAAGTGGGGCTAGAACATGACACAATGTACTAGGAATTATTTTACAAATTTATCTTCAAATCAAAGCTACTTGCAAAAATGGATTTAGCTCTGCCCTCAACTGTTTCCTCAGGCTCAAATGTTTAAATAGAAATAATTTGCAAAATATGTCACTGTCTGCTTATATTTTATCCTCATGGCAATAGAATGTTACTCAACTCCCCAGGTCACTATCAATTATTTTTAAACTGCTTTGCCTTTTACTAAAAACTCTTTAGTATCCGGAAGATTTGTTTCAAAAGCTGATCAGAAAACAAACAAACAATTATGCATTTCAAAGATTTATTAAAGTAAAAAAGAAAAAGCTTTTAATAAAGAAACTTAATATGATGAGTATTTCGCTTTTACCTTTTTAGTGGGTTGTTGCCCATAAGTGATCCTTGTCATTGTAAACTATGCCAGGAAACCCTCCAAAATTAAAGCAAGTGCGGATTTACAGAAAAACAAACAGCAGCTGTCCCAGTTCATCTAAGGGTCTGGGCCAGCAGCCTGCTGAGAATTCATCAAGCCCAATTGAGCAGTTCAAGGCAAAAGACATTTAAAAAATAAAGTACAAACCCCTTGGGAATATTAAGAAAGACTCATCCAAAGTTTTCCAAAGACGTGCATCCAAGGCTCAAACCATTACAGCAGACCAAAGTAGTACTCTCTAAGCCAGAACTGCAAAACGGCCACTTATGAAAGCTACTATGTGAGATATCAAAAGTATTCAGGTCTTTCCTTCACACAGAACTAGCTTAGAGGGACAGAACTTTCTTTTTCCTCTCTCTAGAAAATTCCCAAACCACAGTTTTATGGGCTCTATTATACCGATTTTGAAAACATTGGTCAACTCAAAATGCCATTTCCTTTGGATGGTTTAGATTATTCTCAATAAATTTTTGGTATATTGATTCAAATAAATGTTACCACATCCTCAGTAAAAAATGTTTCCATGGTGAAATAAGTATGACCTCAAATGAAATCTTAGAGATTCCCAATGCATATGGAGAGCTCTGAGTAAAGAAAGCTGTTTCTAATCCAATAGTTCCCAAATATGTTTGACCATGGAACCTTCTTTTTACTAACCCCTTTTGACATTCCAGGGTTGAGAAACACTGGTTTAAACATTTCTGTGACTTCAAGGTCAAGATTAAGGTCTATTTCCTATTGGGATCATTCATTCACCTATTAAGTAGACATTTTGTTAGTTGGCTTGTACGGGCCAGGCTCTCTACCTAGACCCCAAGGCAAATAAAAAGAAAGTGCTCAGATCCAGCAACTCTGGTATCTGTCAAGGTTAAGCAAAAGACAAAAATGTACATAAATATCAGCATTTTCATGTGATACAGGCTTCTGTGAACCCCTTCATTGCTGACAGTATGTACAGCACAATTTATATCCCAAGTTGTACACTAAATATTTCCTGTGCCTTTGTCATGTCTCTTCCGCTATATTGTTCATTACTTAAAAGCAAAGCTCATGCCTTATACTTGTCTAGTATTCTCTGTGGTACCTGGCATGGGACTGGACATGTAGTAGGTCATCCAGTGAATACTGGTTGATTGACTGATTGAGGACTAAACTAGATAATCACTTGAGTCTTTTTCAATTTTGCAGTTCTAAGAGTCCTTTTCAAATACTGGTACAATCTTGAGCCTACAAAATTACAGTGAACCACAAAAGCATTGAATAATTCATTAGCTCTAGTTTACCAAGAGATGTCTTAATGCCACAAAAGTCACAAAATTAATGCATGCTGCCCCACCAAATAGACAAGCAACAGCAAACTAAAGCAATTTACTCGCTACTTATGGACACAACTTAAGTGTTAACTTAAAATTTAGTGATTTGACCTTGTAATCAGAGAACAGTCAAGTTCTGATTTTACATATGGGAATCCTGGAAATCAAGTGAACATTTAGCTATTCATTGTAGAATTTAATACAGATCAGGGTTAGCCACAATTGGTAACACTTGGGGAGTTGTTAATTTCTTGCTGGCAATTTCACTGTAACTTCCCTTCATAAATTTCAGATTTAAACTTGGCGTTGTCATCCAGACCTTATGCACATTTATTTGATTTACATATGATGAGTGGCTCCTAATAATATATTCAGTAAACAAACATCACCTCTGATGCTTTATGTATTTGAGAATTCTTCAGAGCCACAGAAATTTAATTTCATAAGTGAACAAGGAAGTGAATTTAGTGAGAATAAATTACATTAGGCTTTATTATGATACAGCAGGATTTCCCAACCTCTGTACTACTGGCATATTGGGCCAGACGATTCTGTGCTGTGGGAGGCAGACGTGTGCATTATGGCAAGTGTGCCTCATCCTTAGCTTCTACCCACTGGATGCCAGTAGCACCCCTCCTACTCCCTTACCAAAGATGGCTCTAGACATTGCCAAATATCCCTTGTGGGAGGAGTGGGAGTGGGAGAAGCCTCTCCTGGTTGAGAGCCACTGATGATAAAAGAACCCCTGGTGACTAAAGTCAGTT